GACGGGCCGTTGAATTATTAGAAAAATAATGCACACCCGAGGTGGTGATGCGGCCACGACGCGAAGCGGAAATGCATTATTAAAATAAAATGCATTATTTTTCTAATAATTCAACGGCCCTGAGTAAATTATTCCGCTTATACTACGGTTACCACACCTCAAGACATCGATCAGATGATATATTTAAAGGGATTCGTCCGGTTTTTGTATTTAAATCGCTATTGTGAGTAGGATTATTTCTTCCGCATCTCATCCAACGCCTCTTTTGCTAGTTCCAAAACGTCATTTTAAAGCTGGTAATGGAGGCTTGAGCCGTTGATAGCATTCTAATGCAGTTAATAATGAAGTTATTAGAAAGAGAGCGAGAGACACAGACACACAGAGAAAGAGAAAGAAAGAGAGAGAGAGAGAGCTTGTGTGAATTAGGCTAGCTCTGTGCGTCCCTCAACAGTGTTCTGCAGCAGCGTCTCTAAACAGCGCTGTTATTACCTCGTTAGTCAGAAATGTCATGTGTAGCCTTTAAGTTGCTACACTATATAGGCTAACTGATAAAATCGTCAGGGCAGCGCTGACAACACCTTTTTGTGCAAACTGCGTGACCATAGTGTGCGTGTGCGAGCACGTGTGATTGCAGTAATTCCTGTGTGCTGTATAGGTACTGTATGCTAATTTTCGTTATTACAGTTAACTATGCGAAGTGATATGGAACTGTAATGCGGTCGAGAGCTGCCTGGAACTACGTTTGCCATGCGTTTCCCTGAAAATAATTCAGAACACCTCAGAACGTTTGTCAGCCAATCAGATTCAAGCATTCAACGGAATCATATGGTTTTATTGAACAAAATTTTTAAAATACATAATGTATTATAAACAATAGAGATAATGTACATTACGCATTACAACAAAGGCCTGCAGGGGGCGCCAAACTGGCATATTTTTTCCAAAAAGCAGTACTATGAATACTTTCATGCTCATTAATACTTTCATAGTTAAACCTCCATCTGTGTGTCTGAATACATGTTCATAACACGCCGAAATGTGCTGACTGCAGTGCAGCTTTGCATGTTTTAAAATGTGTGATTTATATGTATCTTGTCAGGGATATTCCTGTGGACTTCAAGTACATCGCTGAGCCCAGTATGCACTCGATGCCTGCGGTCACGCTCTCGCCCAACGGTGAGTGACGTCATGTGACTCCCTATCACTTCCTCTCTGTGATCAATAATCAATCAGGATATCGTCAGACGCAGACGGTTTCCAGTCTGAGTGACAGACGCCTCGTTCTGCTGCGTGTGAATGACAGATTTCATGAGTTTCTCTTCTGAGGTGCAGATGAACTGACCTGAGCTCATTCACACTCACTCAAACCTCAGCTAATAGTCGTCCAGTAACTAACTAGCTGGTTAGTGAGGTTAACTATTACCGTATTGGCCCGAATATAAGACGACCCCCCCTTTTTCCAGATGTACCTTTTGGAAAAAGGCTTTTTACATCCATAAAAACAGCACCTTCGACAAAACAATATTTCAAGACCGTAAATAATACTCTAAATATTTAATTGATGGGGCTTTTTTGTTCGAAGTTATTTTTGTCCCCAAGAGTCATAATATAAGCGGAAAACAAGGATGAAGAAGAGCATTTGGCTTTGTGTAATTTAAAATGTTTATTTATTTATTTACTATAGTTATGACTTTGTTTAATTAGGTTATAAAACATGAATTGAATGAACAGTTTGTTTTTCAATTTAAAAATTATTTAATTTATAATTTATTCATTTTAACTACATTTTAAAACATTAATTAAACTGCTTTAAATATCTATTAATTTGTCCATTTTGAAAAATATTTTTATTTTTAATTGATGGTACTTTATTGTTGGTATACAAAGTAAAATCAAGTCAAAAGTTTTGTTGTCCAGAAGAGTTTAATGCCTTTTTTTTTTTTTATCGATTAAAAAAATGGATAAATAAAAGCTTTTGGGTTTTTAAATGCAATTTAAAATATTCATTTATTTTAATATTTATTAGTTTACTATAGTTACCGTTTTATTTATAGCTATGGTTTTATTTACTATACGTATTACATTTTAAAGCATGAATTGAATAAACAGTTTTATGTTTATCTATTTATTTTTAATTTTAAAGATGTTTTTTTAATTTTGTTTAGTTTTAACTATGCAAAGAAATATTCAAATAAACAGTTTTAAATATGTCTATTAATTTGTCCATTTTAAAAAGTGATTTATTATCAGTTTTATGTTTTAATTATTAGGTTAGACCCTAGCGACAAATGCTAATCATGTTAGAAACATGCTAGCGACATGCTAGTAACTTGTTAATCATGCTAGCAACATGCTAGTAGCATGCTAATCATGCTAGCAACATGCTAATCATGTTAGAAACATGCTAGCGACATGCTAGTAACTTGTTAATCATGCTAGCAACATGCTAGTAGCATGCTAATCATGCTAGCAACATGCTAATCATGTTAGAAACATGCTAGCGACATGCTAGTAACTTGTTAATCATGCTAGCAACATGCTAGTAGCATGTTAATCATGCTAGCAAAATGCTAGTAACATGCTAATCATGTTGAAAACATGCTAATGAAATGCTAGTAACTTTGCTAATCATGCTAGCAGCATGCTAATCATGCTAGAAACATGCTAGCGACATGCTAGTAATTGTTAATCATGCTAGCAACATGCTAGTAGCATGTTAATCATGCTAGCAAAATGCTAGTAACATGCTAATCATGTTGAAAACATGCTAATGAAATGCTAGTAACTTTGCTAATCATGCTAGCAGCATGCTAATCATGCTAGAAACATGTAGGCGATATGCTACTAACTTGTTAATAATGCTAGCGACATGCTAGTCACTTGCTAATCATACTAGCAGCATGATATTAGCATGCTAGAAACATGCTAGTAGCATGCTAATCATGCTAGCGACATGCTAGTCACTTGGTAATTCAATTCAATTCAAGTTTATTTGTATAGCGCTTTTCACGATACAAATCGTTGCAAAGCAGCTTTACAGCAAATTAAGTTTCTACAATATTTAGTAGTAGCTTATCAGTGGTGACTGTCAGTTAATGTACATATGGCAGAAATGTACGGAAAAATCAATTAAAGACGTAATCAATTAAAGACGTAATCAAACAATAATCATTCTAGCAACATGCTAGTAACTTGCTAATCATGCCAGCAGTATGCTAGTAACAGGCTAATCATGCTAAAAACATGTTATCAACATCTATCTAATCTATTTACATTTTCAAACTTCAGGCTTTTACAACTGCTTTAAACTTTCAGGCTAGGCTTCCTCAAGCCAACCTAAAGTTTGTCTTGACGAACTTTTTTTATCTAGTTATTTAATCGATTTAATCGACCAGTCAACATTTGAAGTGGATCAAAACCTTTCATCAAAGTTGTCCTAAAACCTGAAACCAAAATGCGTTCTTGCCTTAGGACTTAGATCCACTTCAAATGTTGACTACTGTATTTTATAGTCCGTGCACAATTTCAAAGGCATTTCTTAAATCGACGAAGAAGAAGAAAAGATTAATAAAAGCATTTGGGTCTTCAAATGCAAATTAAAATATTTATTATTTTATTATGTATTAATTTGCTGTAGTTGTGGTTTTGTTTAATTACATTGTAAAACCTGAATTATATAAACCGTTTTACATATGTCTTAATTTGTTGGTTTAAAGAGTGATTTATTTCCTTTTTTATTGTTGAAAGTAAACCGATAACTGATTCCTTCGTGCGCTGTGCAGTAATATCTTGATTTATTGGATTATTTTCTCAGGTAAGTGGCTGGCCTGTCAGTCCATGGACAATCAGATCCTGATCTTCGGAGCGCAGAACAGATTCCGGCTCAACAAGAAGAAGATCTTCAAGGGTCACATGGTGGCGGGATACGCCTGTCAGGTGGACTTCTCTCCGGACATGAGGCGAGTCTCCTCAAACCAGTCGTTTCTGTTCATCTGCAGTCACTAACTGCTGTGATTAGAGCTTAAAACATGCAAAATGCTCCCGAATTGGGACGGGTTTGAGACTAAATATTAGTATTAAAATTAAGCAACATTGTGAATATTATGAGGATGATATTAAAGTGCTTTTATTTGACCGTTAAGTCTTAAAGACCGCAGCAAGATGCCAGATTCATGAGTATAAGAGCACTAGTTAGTTTAAAATTCTAATTATTTCATTTTTATTAAACGCTCCAGGTTTGCCGATTTGGCAATTTTGGGAAAAAAGTGCTTTATTTATCGATATAAAAAGAACACCATAATAATAGCTCTGGTTATTATCATTACTACCAAGTAAAAATATTAATATTATTTATTTATAACAAAAGTCGCAATTATATTTCACTAAAATAAAAAATTGAGCATTGAAGAAAAATTATTATTGCTAATTATAGTTGCAATACTAATGTTTATGTCTGTCTGTCTTTTTCAAACACACTTGTTTTGGTGGAGCAGCATATATTTAATAATTATAAATACATTTTAATATATATTTAATATTTTAATAGTTTGGTATGATTTGTGTTGGTTTGATAAATATGAAAATAAAATAATGTTATGATTATTATTGCTAAATAAAATGATAAATAATATTTGTTTAAAACAAAATAAGAAATATTGGGTATAAACAAATAAAAAATTGGGAAAATAGTATAATTATTCTTTTGTTTTACAGTACAACTGTAAAATTGCAGTACTAATATTAATGTCCGTCTTTATTTTCAAACATTAAATCATCAAGCTTTTATTTTGGTGGAAAATGTTATTTTTGGGAAGCAACGTTATGTATTTAATTAAATCTCAGCCTTTGAGATATGATCATTTTGGTTTTTATTTTGATTAATCGTGAAGCCCAAGACAATGAATATGTACTTTGTTCATAAATATGTATTTTTATATTGATAAAGTTTCATTCTCACTTGTTCATTTAGTGTAAATCATTGTGGAAAATATGCCTTGATGATTTCAACTATATTTTTTATGCATTTACTTACATTGATTCAGTTTGATTTTATTTGGCTAGAATGATGTTTTGATTGAAATAATGATTCCTCTGATTAAAAATAAAACAAAAAGCCATAATAACCTTTTTGAAACATTTCAGAGCAATGCATAAATATGGACGTATATATTTAGAACCATTAAAAGCCTGAAAAAAAGTATAATTTATCATTTATTTTTATATATATAAAATTATTTATAGGTTACATATTATATATTATATCATTTTTAGCTGTATTTTCTATCACAGTGCATGTTCTCCTGGTTATTAATAGTTGCTTTGCATTAAAAAAAGCTTTATTTGATGGTGTTTTGACCTGGTTCTCTCGCTGTGCGCTGCAGTTACGTGGTCTCCGGAGATGCCGACGGGAAGCTGAATATCTGGGACTGGAAGACGACGAAGCTCTATCATCGGATCAAGGCGCATGACAAGGTGTGCATCAGCGCGCTCTGGCATCCTCACGAGACGTCGAAGGTGATCACCTGCGGCTGGGACGGACAGATCAAGCTCTGGGACTGACCTGAACCTCAGCTTTTAACACTGATGTGAGAGGATTATTATTATTACAGGGCTGGTATCCAGTCATAAACACACACACACACACACCAGAGACTTCAGCTCATGCGTTTTGTTTTATAATGAATGAACCTGTATCTCCAGTGTCTCGCATTTCTGTCTTTTTGTGGATAATAAATGTCTCTTGTTTATTTCTGCGGTCTGTGAAATTTACCCATTCTTTTTCAGCATAGACGTTGAATTACAACAAAGCATTTGATTAGAGGCATAAAAAAGATACTTTAATGAGGGAATAAACTCCTCAAGACATTATAGTGTAAAATACCGCATTTTAATTCTCAATATATATGCATATGATTTTTTTTTTTTCGTATTCATGACAGTAGTATGACAATTGTAATACTTCTTTTATTTAATTGTAATAATTTAAATACTATTATTCTAAATAATAATGATTATTATTATTACTATTATTTCTTTATTCATTAAAATTTTATAATTTGAGAAATTATTCTGAATGATATTTTTTACTTTACAATAGTATAATGGCAGTTGTAATATTTATTTTATTTAATTAATTTTATTCTTAGTAATCAAAAAAATTATTTCTTCATTTAAATTTATAATTTAGGTAAAATTATTCGGAATAATTCTAATAATAAATATTAATAATAATATTTTGTTATTAAATAAAAAAAAATGTTTTACAGTACAATAGAATTATTGCAAGTTACATTTATTGATTGATTTGATTTTTATAATTTCAATATTATTCTGCACTATTCAACAATGTTAGTGCAATAGTAATATTTATATATTGATTTAAGTTTTATAATATGAATATTATTCTGAATATTTGAATTTTAACTTAATACTGAATATGTAGGTATATGATTGTTGAGCTCCTGATTCTATGGTAAGAGCTACTTTGGATTGGAAGCCGTATTTTGCCTCGGCATTATGGGTAATTTACTTCTTCACTGGGAATTTTGTTGATAAACACAATTATTATTCATTTATTTTATGGGAAAGCACACCTGCTGTTTCTACAGAAGCAAATATCATAACTGCACAACAGTGTGTTTATTACACAAAACATTTCGCTCATCCCTTCACAAAGAATTCAATCCCAGAATGCACTTCAGCAATCTCAGTAAAAATTCTCCTCCAACAGTCAAGGTACGTGATAAATATATTTTATACACATTGTATTTGCACACAATGTTGCGTATATATTCATAAAGTGGCCTGAATTTATCTGAATTCAACCCATTTTTATCAAGCAACATATTTAAAAAAAAAAAATACCATAAATATATTCTATATTGAACTGAAAACATGTAGCAAAATAGTCCTTTTGACAAAATGTTGCGTGAATTCAGTTCACCCGATTTTATCTGATTTCTGAATTCAACCCATTTTTATCAAGAAACATGTTTTAAAAAATATACCATACATATATTTTATTCTTATGCCAAAAATCATTAGGATATTATGTAAAGATCATGTTCCATGAAGATATTTTGTAAATGTCCTACCGTAAATATATTAAAACTTAATTTTTGATTAGTAATATGCATTGCTAAGAACTTCATCTGAACAACTTTAAAGATGATTTTCTCAATATTTTGATTTTTTTGCATCCTCAGATTCCAGATTTTCAAATAGTTGTATCTTGGCCAAATATTATTTCCGTCCTATCCTAACAAACCATACATCAATGGAAAGCTTATTTATTCAACTTTCAGATGATGTATAAATCTCAATTTTGAAAAATTTACCCTTAAGTCTGGTTTTGTGCTCCAGGGTCACATATAACATGTTCTCACATCCTCATAGACTTGTGGCAGATTTACGCTGTACATGTGGCACAGAAGCGCTTCTGAAGTGGCATGTAGGCGTGTAAGAGGAGGCATAACTGCATTATTCAAAGCGTGAAGCGTGTGTTGACCCAGCCCAGTGTGAAGGAGCTGCTGGTGTTGCGGAGGTTTCTGTGCAGGAAGAGGCGTGGCTTGCTCGGGTCGCTGTAGCTGTGGTAGAGGCGGAAGTGAGCGCGCTCCAGCTCCCTCAGCAGACTGAACCAATAGCGGACCACCGAGGGCTCGTCCCCGCCCACCTCAAACCCCGCCCACTGCAGGTGCAGCTCCAGCAGCAGCAGACCGACCGAGTCCAGCACCTGCTCCAGGATCAGGTTCTCCAGGATCTTCCACTCCGCGCTTTCCAGATCCACCTTCAGCACATCCACCTGAGAGGAACACCATCATCATCATTACTGACTCCTCCCACTACTGCATCTGGTACACTAAGGTTAGTAGTGCTTTTGCAGAGATGTAACATGTGAGCCTGCAGCACAAAAGCAGTGTTAAGTCGCTGGGGTATATTTGTAGCAATAGCCAACAATACATTGTTTGGGTCAAAATTATAGATTTTTCTTTTATGCCAAAAATCATTAGGATATTAAGTAAAGATCATGTTTCATGAAGATATTTTGTAAATGTCCTACTGTAAATATATCAAAACTTAATGTTTGATTAGTAATATGCATTGCTAAGAACTTAATTTGAACAACTTTAAAGATGTTTTTCTCAATATTTAGATTTTTTTGCTACCCTCAGATTCCAGATTTTCAAATAGTTGCCAAATATTGTTCTATCATAACAAACCATACATCAATGGAAAGCTTATTTATTCAGCTTTCAGATGATGCATAAATCTCAATTTCACAAAATTTACCCTTATGACTGGTTTTGTGCTCCAGGGTCACACATTTATACCGATTTCAATATTTTCCAACCCAAATTATGACTCGCATAAATTGTGTAAATCCAAAGGGGAAAAAAATAAAATTTCTTATGAGGATCATTTAGAAAGAAGCTCGGTTTTCTTTTTTTTCCCCCTCACACAACCCATTTTATTTTTGTAGTCTGACATGCTTCTTTTTTATTATTTATTTATCAGTTTACAATATAACAACAATCAAAACAATAAAAAAAAATCTGCATATCTACAAATATGAAAACATACATCATCAAATCCAATTTGTGTTAAATTAAAACTGAAATCAAATCATGTTATAACAATGGATATTAAATGATATAGGCATGAGTCAAAGAAGCTCGGTTTTCAAGCAAAACATTGGAAAGCATATGTTAGTAGGCTACTGTAATTTTACTGTTGTTCTGTAACATATTATTAATTATTATTAGATGCAGATTTTTTACTGTACAGTACAATAATCTTATTGCACTGGTATTATTTCTTTATTCATTTAATTTTTATAACTTAATTAAAAATATTATTATGAATAATATGAATTATTATTAATAATAAATTCAAATTTTACAGTACAGCAGAATTATTGCAATAGTAGTATT